AAATATTTATAACCCACTTTGATGTAGTAATATGAAGATCTTAAATCTTTTCATATTTATAGTCTCAATATTTTTTTCTTTGACTATTTCTTTGAAACTTAATAAGTTTCTTTCGAGACTTACTACAATTTCAATATCCTGAGCAATTTTATTTCTTTGGGTAGTAGCACATTAGCTCACCAAAGCTCACAATTAACATTGGATACTACCACATATTTCATAACATTGTTTGTGTGGTGACATCTCGTTCAAAGAGAAATTTATATCATTATTGTCATGGTCAAAATCATTACAAGCAAAACTTGTTTCTTGATTTACTTTTGTCATTAGTATCTCCTTCCTTTTATTTAATATCTGGCAAAATATTTTTGGTGCATAGAGATACATAACCAATGACAATTTTTATGGCAAGAAATTATTTTCTTCTTTTGCCCTTTCGGTAGTTCATCATAAAACGTACCACAATATTTGTGATGTACTAAAAGTACTTGACCAATAACCATTTATACCAACATAAAACTTCTTTATTTCTCTCTAACCTCCTATAGGGGTGAGTTATGGTATTTATTAAATCATACATGAGCATGTCTTTATTTATAATTTTCATCATCTCTTGACAAATTCACTTTCAAGAATGATCCACTTTTCATGATACTTATCACAAGTCACATTCTCTTCAAGGAATTGACTAGAATCATATATACATGTTTCATAATTATTCCTTTCATTAGAAGTTCATTGTCATGCTTTGAAATTTATCATATTCATATGACATACCTCAACATCACTTTTGAAAGTCAAGTGTATTACCACTTTTTCATCATTTTCTTTGATGGAGGATTTATAATCAAATTATTAGGTCTCATAACAAATATATTTCTAATGACCTTTCATATCATTTTGATGACAAAAATTACCTTCACTCTTTAAAAGGTCATTTTGAGAACCCATAATGTTCTTTCTTTCACAATGATGACTATTATAATTTTGTCCGTTCACGTCCATATTCATATGTTTAATCATAAAATTATCTTGTCATTTTTCAGATTTTTAATGTATTGCTATCACATTAACTTTAAAGAATGGAGCATATTCAATGAGACGATCTTCACATTTCTTTTGTTTTATCAAGAGCTTATCTTGCCCAGTCATCATTATATCATCAATATATTGCATTGAGACTTTAATCGATGTCTTACCTTTTTGGTGCGGTGAAATTTGACTCTACCGTGTTACCTCAATCAATGACATCATATATAGTTCAAAATAAAATTGATAGCCTTTAAAATATTGTATCTTTGTTATTAATAGCACAAATAAATTTAGTCATAATAACACTTCAAAAGATCATATACAAGTTATTACCTTTGCTAAACGAAACAGAGTTGATCCTCATAGATGGCTCTGAATACTATTTTCAATTTAAAAGTTTTATGAGTAATTCACTTATTGAAAGATCAACAAATTAATTCTCAACATTGACTTCATTTGTTGCTAGTTAAGAATTATTTTTTTCTTCAATTGGAATTCATAGATAAAGCAACTAGAGGAAAACACTAATAATCACAATAAATAAAATGATACCTCAAAATCCAAGAGTTAAATACACACTTGATAAATGGACCTAATAAAGTCTACATGTCAAATTGTCTCAATGACATGTAGCATATTTTATGAATTTCAAAAAATAGCATACTCTTTTGCAGATGTATACAAATTAGAATTAATGTAATTAGTATTATGAAGGAAGCTTACCATAAAGCAAAAATATACAATTAGCTTACCATTGACAAGTTTGTTAATTGCAAACCTATATGACATGCCAATGCCACTTCAAAGAATCTTTCATGATAAAAAAGTCCTTTTGATGATTCCAAAGGAAAATAAAATACTTCTTCAAATATTAGTTTGCTTACCTTTTTAAAGCAACTATAAAACAAGTTATGTTAGTACATATAACATATTATAATAATTCAAGAAGTAAATGATTAGCTAGTGAAAGATAAACAAGTGTCAAATAATCAATGATGTTGGTCAAAATTAATGTAGGTCAACATAAGAAATTTTAATACCTTTTCCTTTTTATTTTGATATGGATTCATTAAATCAACTATATCTCCTTTAGAAGCAATTATGTATTACTAGGTGATAAGCACAACAAAGTATCAACCAAATTAAAAATTCATGTTATGCATTTTTAGTCTTCTAACGATTTCGGTGAGTTCAATTCTTTCAACAAGGTTATCAGTTAAGTATGTACTAATTATCCTTCCAATATTTAACTCAAAAATCCATGATAACATTAACGATAATTACATTTGACACATCAAATTTAGACTATCAAGTATAAGAAGACTTATATAGCAAAATATAATATACTCTATACTATTTATGTTTCGATTAATGCACTGTCGGAGATGCTCATAGATGAAGAGACTCGTGCTGATAACGTGTTATAAAATGAAGTATAAAAACTAAGATAATAAGGAAGATGAGAAATGGTATGTGTAGTATTTTCTTTCACTTACTCTTGTCTCTTTCTTCGTTACAAGAATAGGGGTATATATAGTTATATTATTTTGTGTCCGAAGTGTAATACATGAATATCATCTTGCCATGTATACACTTTGGGAACCAATTATATCAAATGGCTAATTAGTATACACCACATAACATTTTGTGTGTGTATTAATCTTACACCACTAAACATATTAGTGTGGACATCCAATTTACAACAATTTTGTATTTCTATCATTAATAGGGGTAAAAATAAAAATGAACAAAGTAAAAAGAAATAGAGGAAGTAACATTTTTCATTAAGTCATAGTCAAGGTACTTCTATCCAGAAATTTTTCTTTAAATGAGAAGTAAGAGCAAAAAGTCAAAAATTTGTAATTTTAAGGGACAAATCAACGATCATCTCAAAATAGAACAATTCCTTCAAAAACTTCATGTATTGGGTGATATATGAAGAGTCAAAATAGACCTACCAAAAACTTAGTAGACGTTTTATATTATTTCATTGTGAAAATAGAAAAAAGAATAGTTTTTTGTTTCTAAAGAGAAAAATAATATTTAAAAACTACATGTGTTTGACCATAAAATAAATTAGAGTTATTTTTGAATATTTGTAATTAATTTGAAGTGAAAAATAATAATTTTTTTTGTTATTTTTGATTTATTTTATTAAAAAAAAAGTAAAAAAATTTCCTGAATTATATTACCGAATATATTTTTTGTAGTTCAACTCAAAAAAATTTAAAAAATTCACCTAGCCCAATGCCCCCTGAACTTAAGAGAAGAATTTGGGCCTTTTCTAAGGGCTGAGTACAACCACAAAATTGGCCTAACCGAGTTTTCTTATTTTTTCGGTATTTATATTTTAAAAGTTCAAATAATTAGTTTAGTTACCTGACACATCTTTCTGTAACAATTCTATTCTATAGTAATAAATAATAATTTTTCGTCACAACAATCTATATTTTATTTGAAATCGATTTTCAAACTATGTTATGTAGTATATTTTTGGGAAAAAGATTAAATATACACTTGTATTATTGATAGTTTAAATATACTATTCATATATTTTGGGTTCAAATATATCCATTCCATCATACTTTAAATACAAATATACCCTTTCATTATACTTTGACACATATATACTTTTTAATTTTAACGATAAACAAATGTCAAACTTAGAATTAAATGACCTACTCCTAATTTAAAATACTTAATTTCTTCATAAACTCACCCATTTAACCAATTATCGACCCCGACCCATATTTTTTCTTTTTATCTTCTTCACTTATGTGTCCAGAAAAATCATCAATGATAAAGATATCAATATTTTGCAATATTTAAGAATATATTTACTTTAATCAAAATAACAAAAGATTTTAAGTATTTTAATAAGTTGATTCAAAATAAAGTACTAAATGGAAAATAAGAGATTTTGAATTTTTGATTCTTTCTTGTTTAGTATAAACAAAGAGATACAACAAATAGCATTTGAGATGAATCAAATGATTTTTTATTTTTATTTTTTATGAATAGGAAGAATAAATAATATTTCAAAATTTAAAAGGGAGAAAATAATTAAAAATTATCTATCAATGGCTAAAGAATCTCTATGGATCTATCAATTTTTTCAATCACAAAAGAGAACAAAAATGGGTCGAAAAGGTTAAACGGGTATGTAAATAATTTCTTTTTGGATATTTTAAAGTATAATAAAGGGTATATTTAGACTATTTTTAATAGTACATAAATATATTTGATTCTTTTCTATATATTATTTTCTCTCTATATATATATCAAAATTATTTTTAAACTATGCGAAATAAATCACTTATATCACATTATGCAAAAATGATCTGCTGAATTGAATAGTGAAAATGGGGTGAAAAAATGATGTTTGCCTCTTAATTTTTAGTGGATTGAATCTATAGCAAGAATGAGTTAGGGTTGAGTTAAAAGATGAAGATGGTTTGTATAATGTAAAGTTGTGAACTCAAAGTGATAGTGAAGTATGAATTGAAGGCTAAATGATAAAGGCATAATCAGTAGTAAGATATTGAGATTAATATTTAATATTTATGTATAAGTAAAAGTAGTAAAATATTATAGTCTTAATGAATTATCGGTTTACCCAATATTAAAAACCAAACTGAATCGATAACCTGATATTTTTTTTTTATAAGACCATTAAAAAACAATTAACCTAATAACAATAAATCAGTAACACTTTTTTCAATTCGGTTTATCGATTTGTTCGATTTTTGCACACCCCTATAGTTGACAAACTTAGGTGGCGGAATTAGTGCCATGTGGCTTGCCACATCACAACTATTAACTCTGGAGGGTATTTACGACCTCGTCAATTAACATCAAGATATTTTTAATCCCAAAATATATCGGAGGCCGGAGGGTATAAAAGGTTAGTAGCGGCGCTTAGGCTATTCCTTAAACCCTTGGTGTAGTCTTCTCGTTTTAACTCTTTGAAACCCAAAACCCTCGCCTACCAGAGAATGAACAAAGAAGGAAGAGTTGAGGAGGAAGAAGAAGAACAAACCTTCGAAGAATTGGGACTTGACCCTCGTCTAATCCGTGCTTTAACCAAGAAAACTATCGATAAACCAACTCCTATTCAGCGAGTTGCTATTCCTCTAATCCTCGTACGTTTACAATACTTTCATCCTCTTCGCAGTTTTGTTTGTAGAGCTGATTTCATTGGCTATGACTATGGCTATTTTTATTATTTTTAGGAAGGGAAAGATGTGGTTGCTCGAGCTAAGACTGGTTCTGGAAAGACATTTGCGTATCTCCTTCCTTTACTTCACAAGCTTTTTACTCAGTCATCTTCAGCCAAGAATCTTGCTCCTACTGCATTGATTCTTGTACCTACAAGGGAATTGTGTCAACAGGTTGAAACTTTTTGCTATTAATTTGGGGTTTTTTTTGGTTTGAGTTTGTGGGTTTATTTTATTTGTGTTTGTTGTTGTTCAGGTTTGTTCGGAGGCTAATTCGTTGATTGAACTATGTAGAGTGCAATTAAGGCTTGTCCAATTGACAAGTTCTATGTCTGTTTCTGAATTGGTTGGTTTCTTTTGTTCACAATTGTTCGGTGATTACTAAGTTTTAATTTTTATGGGTATTTGATAAAGTGATGATTTTTAATGATCTTTTGGTTTCAGAGAACTACGTTGGCGGGGCCTCCGGAAATTGTAATATCTACTCCTGCTTGTATACAGACATGCTTGTCAAATGGAGTTATTCAAGCGAAAGCTGTTCAAGATTCTCTGTCCATTCTCATTCTCGATGAGGTGGGTTAGTTTATGTAACATTGTTCCTCTGAACTTCTTCTAGTTGAAAGACTTTTTGCTGATGTATAATGAGTTGCATTGTTTAAAATCTCAAATGTTTTGCTGTAAAGGTCTGCTTTTGTATGGTGAGAGTCATTGGTTCATATCCAATATAAGGTGAAACTTACTAGATACAATTGACTCTGGTATCTGATAAGGTTTATGACCCACCTTTAGTAGTGATAGTTACTTTTTTGATTTCATATCTTTTCTATTTCATTTTTAAATTTGAATATTTGCATTAGAATTGGATTGTGTTTGATTGTATTCACCCGAAAGGACATGAGGTTGAGAATTATGTTTCTGTATCAGGCAGATCTTCTTTTGTCATATGGATATGAAGATGATCTGAAAGCTCTTACATCTCATGTACCAAGACGTTGCCAGTGCCTTCTGATGTCTGCAACCTCTAGGTATGCTCGCCTTACTATATTCACATATATATATGTCAAGCAAATTCTTGCTGATTCTTCCACTGTCGCCTATGCTGGTTTTCTCCATCACAAAGTTCTTGATTTTTACCATCTCACTTCCCATCTTTGTCCCCCATCTCAAGGTTTGGATATGAACTTTTTTAGTCGTGTTAACATTGCAGTTCTGACGTTGAAAAGCTGAAGAAGCTTATTTTACACAATCCATACATCCTAACCTTGCCTGAGGTGGGAGAAACAAAGGATGACATTATCCCAAAAAATGTTCAGCAATTTTATGTAAGTAAACACCTTCAATAGAAGTAACTGATTTAGTAGTCTGTTCTCTCTTCAACACTTTTTCATTGAGAATTTTGGTGCCGTCTTGGTACTTCATATAAATATGTTTAATTCGATAGAGTGATCCTCATACTTTTGGTTTCTGTAATACTTGACTAAGATGCTGCATCTTTTGTGCTAAGGTGTGAACTTAGGAGTCGTCTAAATGGTAAATTATATGTTCAATCGTCACATACTTTTCAACCTTTTGTGATGGATAAGTGCCATATTATGACACTACCTTCTAGTAGGCAGAGTCATTGCCCAGGGCAAGACATTATTTTGTTTTAGACGTCTTATTACAACAACAAATATACACCTCAACAACTGTGTATTGTTGGTGTTCTATGCTATTGTTTTCTCTTATAGTTTCGTGTCTCTAATGATCACTTCTACTGTTTGTTCAGATTTCTTGTGCTGCTCGTGATAAGCTTGTCCATATCCTTGCCCTCTTGAAGCTTGAGTTGGTTCAGAAAAAAGTCTTGATATTTACGAATTCAATTGACATGAGTTTTAGACTCAAACTATTCTTTGAGCAGGTACATCCATGTACATGATGTCACTAATTATCATAGGACATGTGATCAATTTATAAATGTTGTACTATGTAAAATCTCATACTTATCTTATGAATACCTCTATTAGAAGCACCAAAACATCTTTGCCACTTGAAACTTCTTTGTTCTTCTCTTATTGTTATTATAATTATTATGTTATTACTTTTTTTTTTAAAGCACATCTTTAGGAATTGTTGAAGTTAGTTCTGTTATACCTCCCAGTCTATGTAGATGAATAGATGGTGCAGCCCATAGAGGGAGTGTTTTTTATTTGTTTGTGCTCAATCATAGTTGAAAGTTATTGGGAGTCGTGGATCGGCTGGATGTGCAAAAGTGTAGCTTTGGCTTGTACAAAACCCAATAGCAGCCTGCTTGGCCAATATTCTAAAATCAGCTTATTTTGAGAAGTGCTTTTCAAAAAACTACTTTTGGTGAGAAGTAGTTTGTATTAGGTTAATCAATTTAAAAGCACTTTTGATTAGCAGCTAGTGTTTGGCCAAGCTTTCAAAAAGTTCTTCTAAGTGTATTTTCTCATTCAAAAAAGTACTTTTGGTAAAAAAAAACAAAACTTTTTTAGCATTAGGAAAGCACTTATTTTCTCCCTAAAAGCTTGGCCAAACACCTCCATTTTTAAAGATAAGCACTTTTAGAGTTCCCAAAAGCTTGGCCAAACTGGCTGCAGGTCTCAATCAGCAGAAAATGGCTACAATTTTAGAAGTCAGAAATGAACAAGGATGGAACCTGATTTTTAGAAGGTTCCTCAATGGCTGGGAAGTGGAGAGAATGACTCAGTTCTATAATACCTTCGAACAAGCCAAGAACCTCACTTGTGAGGAAGACAAATTGACATGGAAGCTGGAGAAAGATGGCAAGTTCAAGGTGAAATCAGCCTACAAATTACTAGACACTTCAACTGAAACAAAGGAGTTGTGGCCTTGGAAGATGATCTGGAAAGGGAAAATACCACATAAGGTGGCTTACTTCACATGGCTTGTTGCAAGACAATCTGTTCTGACTCAGGATAACTTAATGAAAAGAGGAAAGGACTTATGCTCCAGATGTTTTTTTTGTGAATCTGAGACAGAGACAATAAACCATCTTTTTTTGCATTGTAAAGTGACTGAGAAGCTATGGAAGTATTTCATTAACCGAAGAGGTATCACATGGACCATGCCTAGAAATACTGCAGAAGTCCTAGCATGTTGGAATAGAGATGGAAATCAGTCAGGACACAAGGAGAGGAAGATTGTCCCTGCCTGCATCTGGTGGACAATATGGAGTGAGAGAAATCAAAGATGTTTTGAGAACAAGAGCATCCCTTTCCAAAGCATTAAAATGAATTGTTTAGTGACCTTTTACTTTTGGTGTATCCATTCTATTCCTAAGGATCCGGGGGACATCACCCTATTCTTAGATAGTTTATGAGGGAGATAGGTGTTTAGTTTCTTTTTGGTAAACCCTCTATACTTTTGATGTAATTACTACAGGAGTTCACTATTGGTGTACTTCTATGTTTATAATACCAGTTAACTTTCTCAAAAAAAAAAACTGGCTGCAGGTCTCTATATTAACTATTTTCTATAAGGCTACATTTATGACCTGTTATCTTCTGGGTGCTAATAGGTTATTAGTCTATGTTTCCGATGCTATACTTACTGCCTGCCTGAGGTGTTCCTGATAGTATTTTTGAAATCTGGGTTATTCTTTTGCAGTTTGGGATCAAGTCTGCAGTGTTAAATGCCGAGCTGCCTCAGAGTTCTCGTCTACACATCCTTGAGGTCTGTCATATGAGTGTAGAATGCCAAGAAATGCACACCTGTTGTATGGCTTTTGTTATTGTTCAACCCTGCTTGTGAAATCTACTATTGCACTAGTCTCATAATTTTCTTCTTCTAATCAGGAATTTAATGCTGGGTTATTTGATTACTTGATTGCGACTGATGAAAGTCAATCAGAAGGAAAGGAACAGGTTGATGATCAAAATGGCAGTGAGCGAAAAAAATCAAAAAAACATCGAAAGCATAAATTGGATGCAGAGTTTGGTGTGGTCAGAGGGATAGACTTCAAAAATGTGCATACTGTAAGTTTGTTGTGTTCTTTATGGAATGTTGTCCTCCATTTAGCAGCTGATGTTCTTTTTCTTTTATCATTTCCCATTGAGCCATTCAGTGATAGAGAATATACAACCAAGTCTGACTAGAAGTTCTGGATTTTGCATAGACCTAATACTCCATATTCTCTTTATGGTTTATTTTGAACAGGTGATAAATTATGAGATGCCTCAAACAGCTGCAGGCTATGTACATCGAATTGGACGTACTGGAAGAGCATATAATACTGGAGCATCTGTCTCTCTTGTGAGTACTTTGAAGACATGTCTGAGGTCATTGATGTACAATTGTGATTGCTAGCATATAATTTAGTTGACTACTTATTGGATTACAGGTTCTGTGTTTTAATGTTGTTTGGTTTTTAAGTGTTGAACTGCTGATTCATAGAATTTCGCTGTTGGCATTAACAAATTACCCAAAGTTCTTATTTCATCTACTCTCTGAATTTGTTTTTCATTTGAGAGAGACATGACTTTGTAGATCATATAGGCTGGGGAATTGGTTTTATACATCTTCTCTAACATTACTTATTCTTCCTTTCCTATAAATTCTCTTCCGACGAATATAGTAGAAAACTATGTTTTTTCTGCCTTTATGACCATGTCTTTGTTTTGTTACAGGTTTCTGATGAAGAGACAGAAATATTTGAAGAGATTAAATCTTTACTGGGGGAAAATGAAGACAAGGTGTCACAGTTTATTGCCCCATTCCCATTGCTGAGTAAAAATGCAGTGGAGTCTTTGCGTTACCGAGCTGAGGTAAAAGTTTCATCAATTATATTTCTATTAAAGGACAGTTCAATAGTCATTGTGTGATAAGTATCTATTGGGAGCCTAGCAGAGTTAGGAGTGTCACCTAGTCCCAGTTGCAGTGAACTTTGTGAAGTTAAGGTTATCAAGTGAGTGTCTTACAGAGGTATATAATGTTTCCTGCTTTAACTATCTTGAGCATGCTTTTTGTGAAAAGAAACAGACAAATATTTAGATGTTACATTCAGTTGTATAGAGCGTTTAAAAAGTGAACCTAATTGGTTAATCATGAATAAATTGGAGTTGTATGTCCAGACGCACCAATTTGTAAATCAACAGATTATTAATAAGTCCATATTTTGTCAACCTCTTGATGCACAAGCATGCTTTGACTATACAAGAAGATCTATGCAGTAAAATTAACTCATGACTACTTTTAATAAGTTGGTTTACTGCAAGCCCATCACATTCATCGCCATCACCAGGATAAAAGGAAGTAAAGATATATATACATATATTTTTACGGAAAACAGTTAACTTGAATTGTATACTGGTGCGCTCCTGCCGATTTCTTTGTTTTGGAAGTCTAGATAGCTTGACTGCCATCTTTTATATAGGATGTTGCAAGGAGTGTTACAAAAATTGCGGTAAGAGAATCACGGGCTCAGGATCTGAGGAATGAGATTCTTAATTCTCAAAAGTAAGCTACTCTTTTTATTTTTATTTTTCTCCTTTGAATAGCTTATTTTCCTTTTTTATTTGTCACATACTTATCCTTTGCTTATTGGGCTTATTTCTGACAATTACTGAAAATATAGCTCAAATTCTTTTATTTAATTACCATGTTTTCTGTCCAAGAAGAATTGTCATGTTTCCATCCAAATTAGGTGTTATTGTCCTCCTCATCCCATTCTTTTTTTGATAAGGAGTTGAGGACTTGCCCATTGTTCATCACTTTAAGTTGTTTAGAAATGTGATGACAGCCTTATTGTTATGATTCAGACATCACTCGAATAGAAGTTCTTTCAGTTAAAAAGGGGTGGTTACTCACCCTCGACTCTATGATGCATATCTGCTGAAATTTTTTTCAGATTTCTTTGCAAGGAAATTCAAGATTTGACTGTCTCATACTTTATTAAATGATTTGAATGTCTCATAATATGTTGAAGCTGGTGTAAACTATACCTTTGGGAAGAAGTTAAAATATTTGTCATATAGTTATTTTGTAGATTAATTGTTTGCTTTCATATAGTTATTTGTTTGTTATTATTCTTCACCTCTCTGTTAGGAGGCACTTTCCGAGCCTCTAGTTACTGTTTTATGATTTTTTAATGATTGTATTTTGGTGTGCTTGACTTGTAATCTGTATTAAGTACTTTTTCCGCTTGTCTTATCCAGATTGAAGGCTCATTTTCAAGATAATCCAAAAGACTTAGGTAATTAAGCTGTAGTTTGTGGGATGCACTTTGAGTGAACATTCTAGGACTCATTATATTCAAATGTTCTGGGCAGATCTTTTGAAGCATGATAAGATGTTAAGCAAGAAAGCACCTGCCCCACACCTACGTGATGTACCTGACTACCTATTGGATCCAACAACACAAGAAGCTAGCAAGATTGTGAAGCTGGCCAGAGCTGCAATGGGCAATACTAATCCATCTCGTGGCAAAGGATCAAAGGGAAGGTTCAAAAGAAGCAGAGACCCTCTTAAAACATTTTCAGCTGAGGTATGCCTCCCCAACCTCTACTTGCACTAAGCTGTATGTGTTGGTGATTTTACAATCATGTTTTATCTGTGTACCACTAGAAATTGAACTAGCAAGTTCTACTACTCGAGTCTTGTCAACATGATGATATGATCGATTGTCTTCCTTGCTTGGTTAAGGAACGGTAAACTTGTGGATTTTGGGGTTAGGTATTACTGTATTATGTCTCTCTTCTTAATTCTATGGTCAGAGTTATCGATGAAGTTCTGTTTATTCAATATAGATATGATCTGAGTCTGAACAAGATGTAGGTACTGAAGGAAATGATTAGATAATCTTTTACTTTAATAAAAAAGATTACATCTTCTTTTAATACAGCTATAAGAACTACAATCCTAGATAATTTGTGTTCTTGGCTTTATTGTGGGCAACGTTGGCGGCTTGGTGTTTGATCTTTTATAAAAACATCTTTCTTTGATTGCAGGCACCTAAGCGAGCAGGGAAAGGTGGGATGAAGAGAAAGGTAAAAGATACTGATAATGGCCATAAACAGTAAAAGAAACACCCTGCCTAGTTGTTTGATACAAGGAATTGTAGTTTATACGAAATTTGAATTATTTATCAATCAATTTTTTTTGAATGCTTTCACTAACCCTAGTCCCGGGAAACCTCTTTTTGCATTTCGTGAAGGAGTTCATCCACTCCTCCAACGAACATTGTTTTGAAAAAGGCGTGGGCACTCCTTTGTCCGCGCTTGAACGGAGATTCACTACTCTTCAGGAAGAGCCTGAGTGAGAGATTGTCATCAACTTTGTCCGCAATATGTTGCCATTTGTGTAGACTAGTTGAGTTGTATTTTGTTCCAATGTTCGTCCCACATTATACAGTTACTTTTTCTGGAATATCGAGTAATTTCACCTTTCATGATTTTCTAAGATTATAGTAAACCTCCCCCCATAAAAAAAATACACAAACTAATATACAATTTTTGTCTAAATGATGAATTATATTATAATCTTGTCAACTAACTGGTAAATTGGATGGATAGCTGCCATATGAAATTCATCTTTTGAACTTCCATTATCCATTTGAAGAGAAGACATAGTATTTAATATTCATAATAGAGAAAATACATTAAAACACCCCTAAATTTTCCTAAATTTGGCAGCAAAACTTATTTTAACACTTTAACTTTACGGGTAATTATTTACCCTCCTAATCGTATTATAAGTAAATTTAATATTATTCGGATGGTTGGCGTGGCAAATTTCAAAAATATCAGCACGTAAATAAAGGACAAAAAAATTAAATGGGGCCCTTTTTTTCCCTTTCCTGCCAATACAATTTTTTCCCATTTCTTCTTCTTCTTACTTGCACCAATCACCCCAAACACAACTCATTTCTTTTCTTTTTAATTATTTCTTCTTCCTCACAGCTTGCACACCCTCTCCTCTCATTCCTCTATGCATCCTTTATCTCCGATTTTCTCCTTCTTCTAAGTAGTTTATATTTATAATAAAGAGAAAATTTCAAATCAAAATAGCAAATCTTTAAAAAATTTCAACTATGATTTGATTAATAAAGAATTAACAAAGTGTCAAAACCTTAAAAAATAATTAATCATCTAACTTTAAACATTACTTATTCTATACCTGGATATGTATTAGGAAGTTAAACAAGAAAATTAACAATAAATCTAAAAAGTTAAGCACACTGATTTTGCACAAATTTGAAAGCGCCATTGTTGATGTAAGTTAAAGCTTCACTTAGCTGAAAAAAGAGATTAATGGAAGTAATAATAAATCATTACAAAGTAATGAAAATAGAATGAATCGGTCAGAATTTTAGAAGTTAAGAAATGGACCCAAATGAAATAATGAAGAGGATAGGTGAATAGTGAAAATAAAATTTTAAAAAAATGTAGGGAAATAAAAATAAAGAAAAAATATATTTTTTTCAATTATCCAACGTGTCATGTGGCATAGAGGTGGCGCTTAAGTGGCGCGCGTGCATTTCACCCATAAGTATGAAATTGGTATTGTATGTGTAAGGTGCTATTAAATTCACTTGAATAAGTTTAGGGGGGTAAATAATTACCCGTAAAGTTAAGGTGCTAAAGTGAGTTTTGCTGCCAAGTTCGAGGGTGTTTTTATGTATTTTCTCTTCATAATATTTTAAAGTAGTTTAATTGGAGAAATATAAAGGTTAGATCAATTTAAAATGAGCTATTAAATAATTGAACATGGTGTGCGTTGATTTCATCTCTTAGAATTATTCATACTTTAATAAAAATATAAAACTTACTAAAGTCTGTTTGAATTGACTTATTTTAAGTAATTTTAAGTCAAAATAAATTTTAAACAGTTTTATAGCGGTTGGATAAAATAAAAAAGTACTTATAAACACTTGTTTTAAAGTTGAAATAATTAAAAGGATTTTTTACTTAATAATATATTTTATTTGATTAATTACTCTTTTTAATGATATTTTATATTTATTACCATTTATGACATAACTTTAGCTTCAATAACCATTTGATATTATTGGAGTGTATATATATTCTGATAGTATCAAGGAAGAAAAAGTCACTTAAGTGAAAACACTACCAAGTTAATCCTTGATACTAGTGTATATATCTTAAGCTTAGTGATAATTAATTTATATATGCTCAGCCAACATTCCAAACTTGTCTCGATACTGACAGTTCAGGGGATAGCAGAGAGAGAAAGGAAAAGAAGTAGTTCTGAAAGGAGACTCCACCTAGCTAGTGCGCTCCTCACCTCAATACTACACTTCGACAGCTATGAACTAAGACGCTTCAGAAGAAAAGCTACATCCACTACCTGCATTCACCCTAACAGGCTAACCCGAGCTTACCCAGGGCCACTATAGTACTGAAAACTAAATGTAGCCAGCATGCGTTTCAAAAGCTGTACGATATATATTGTTTAATTTATGAAATTTTTTCAAGTATGTATTTTCTAATATTAAATATTCTTCATGTTAAAATTCGTGGACTTGTACACGAGTTAATAATACTTAATGCAAATACATAAGGGTCGTTACTTTACTGGTTAATTAGAATTGTGCAGATGCTAGTGAAATTATCTATACTTCACACAATTACAAAAGACAATATATATATATATATATATATATATATATATATATATATATATATATATATTTACATGATATTTTCTAGAAATGTTATATATTAGAGTAGATAAATAGTTTCTTATATACACACAAAAAATAATACTACACGTTGGTTAGATACAACAAATATTTTCAAGCCACATACATATTGTTACAAACTGGTTATGAAAGCATGTAAATATCCAAAAATTTCAAAATAGCTCTTTATTCTTAAAATGAAAATTGAGTTTCAAAGAATTGGTAACATTATATCAAAAATAATAAAAATATTTCTCTGATATATTTAAATACTTTGAAAATTATTATAAAAATTTACACGCATCAATAGCAAGAACTCTTGACAGTAATCAAGGAAGCGAAAAAGCGTCACATACAAAAGTGAAGGAAGTTGAACATACTCAAGAACAATAATCATAACAAGTGATAAGCAAATATAGATTGGGAGGAGAGAAGTTAAGCTTAAGATATATAATAGAGGAGGAATATGTACTCTGTTCATTCCTAAATAAATTTGTTGGATCAAATTTAGTCTTCACTTTCACCAATCTATCAAAGTTGTTCTTGAAATATTTCTCTCCCCAAATTCTTGCTTGTGTTTCCTTTATTGTTCACTCCCAAATCAAGATCTCTATAGTTGAAATAAGCAGCTCTTGGAGATTCTGACACATACTTAGCCATGCATCGATAAAGTTCTCAATTCCAAGCTATGATTGGTTGAATAGTTTCCATATACCTTCAAGACCATTAATAGAAATTGGGTGTTGGACAAAGTCTGATTTCGCTGTAAAGAATCCTATATTAGTTGAGGTATTCCAATTTAGTAACACATCAGGTGGTGTGCCCCTTGGGAGACCCACAAAGAAGAGTACAGATTCGATCCAACTCATCTCCATGCAATCTTCTTTCACTAACCCTAGTTCCGGGAAGCGATCTTGCATTTCATGGAGGAGGTCATCGACTCCTCCAACGAACATTGTAAAGAAGAAGGCGTGGACAGTCTTTTTCCCATGGCTGAGTTGAGATTCAGTACTATTCCACAAGAAGAGCCTCAAGAGGCAGAGCCGTATCTAGAGGGGGTGCCGTGGCTTCACGTGAACCCATGCTCCTCTCTAGATCATATATATAGTAGTGATATTATTTTTTAAAAATATTTAAATATAGATGTGTGAACCCATGTTTAAAGTATCATATAAAAATGCGATGATGATTGGGTGTACTTCTCTAAGTGAGAGATAGAAATTTAAATCTTATATCTATCTTGTTTCTTTGAGTAACACTTTTCCAAGTGGTTATCAGTTACACTTTTGTCGTTTCAACTAATTTTTCTTTTGTTTTTTTTCTTTATTCTTTCAAAATTTTCAAGTGTGTTACATTGAGAATTCTTAAAAAATTTAGCATTGTAAATTTTTTATATAATTAAATCAAATGTGTATATTTAAATTTAAAACTAGTAGTATTATATATTTTGGATCTATAATTTTAAACTTTAATGATTCATATTACAAACTAAAAGTCAAATCGATCAATTTATATTAGAGATACATTTTTTCGTAATTGTGCACCCATCTAGCCGAGATCCTGGATACGCCTCTAGACAACAAGAAAATCTTTTAGAATAAACACATTAATATAAATAAGTCATGTGTTTCCATTTTGTCCAACAAACAATCAATTATGACTATAAATAAAATTCTTTGGCACCTTACGACCATGTGTCCTGAATGTTGGGTGTTGCATTTGGATTTGGGAGATCCGGTGATTTCGATGATTGTTGGGCTCGCGTCTGAGTTATCTTCAAACTCCGTTCGCTAAATAAATACATGATTAAAATTATTATTATTTGTATATAGAGTAGATGTCAAATTCTATTAGGCTAATCCAACTCATCTCATTGCAATCTTTTTTTATTAATCCTAGTTCAGGGAATCTGTTTTGCATTTCGTGGAGGAGTTCATCCACTCCTCCAACGAACATTGTAGTGAAAAAGGCGTGGATAGTCTTTTGTCCATGCCCAAATCGAGATTCACTACTCCTCAGGAAGAGCCAGATGAGACAATTTTCATCAACTTTGTCTGCGATATGTTGTCATTTATAAACAGAGTTGCATTTTGTTCCAATGTTTGTTGAATATGGAACACGATTACCTTTTTCAGGATACAATGTCAGTGGATGTGTGTTTTACACAGTCAAAAAATATTAATCAACTGTAGCCAGTTTAGAATAATTTTTTATTAAAAAAAAAGAAAATCCAAAATATCTCAAATTTTCAGGAGAGAGTGTATCAAGTAAACACTTATTCCATTAAATTATTTTTGAAATAGAGAAAATCACTATCATTGATTAGGTCCTTGCAATAAATGCATTTATCCCGATGTCATTTATGTTGAAAGGAAGACTAAATAAGTAGATAGTTTTTTTCTATTTTTTTTAATTATCAAATTTGATTTATTAATAGTTGTTATGTAAATTAAATCAAGTTTATTCTATCTTTAATCTCAAACAGAAAAAGATGCCAAGTTTTACTTAAATGCCTCTTATATTTCAAAAATTAGATACTACTAACATTTATTTGATAATCTTTATTTTACCATTGTAATCATTGCTACAACTTAAAAATAAAGTAAATAAATGACAAGAGGGGAGAAATTTGACAACCCACGAATTCTAACATCAAGAAAACATTTTAATACATAGAAAATTTATTACTTGAAAATAAAAATTTATAAATCAAACAATATAGGAGTACTATATCTTACACAATATCTTTGGAACGCATCCTGGCTACATTTATTTTTCAGTACTATAGTAGTATATATATACATAAAAGAACTACTATGATAAGCCTTATTTGTAGAGTGCATAAATTATATATTAGTACTATTTACTAAGCTTAAGATACTAGAGGAGGAACACTTTGTTCATTCCTAAAGAAATTTGTTGGATCAATTTTAGTCTTGATTTTGACCAATCTATCAAAGTTGTTCTTGAAATATTTCACTCCCCAAATTCTTGCTTGTTCATAGCTTGTGTTTCCTTTGTTGTTCACTCCCAAATCAAGATCTCTATAGTTGAAATATGCAGCTCTAGGAGATTTTGACACATACCTAGCCATGTATCCATAAAGGTTTCGAATCCAAGATAGATGCTTATTAGAACTTTCCATTTCCCTCCAATTCACCCCATAATGGATCATGAATATGTTTCCATCTCTATGAGGGAAAGGTGTTTCAGATTCTGAGATGTCACTCAACTTTCCTCCGTAGGGACTAAATTGTAATTCTGTTGAGTATTCGCCTACTTGGTTGAATAGCTTCCATATACCTTCAAGACCATTTATAGAAATTGGACGTTGGACATAGTCTGATTTACCTTTGAAGAATCCGGTTTGATAAGTTGAGTTATTCCAATCTAGTAACACATCAATTGATGTGCCTCTAGGGAAACCGACAAAGAAGAGTATAGATTCAATCCAACTCATCTCAATGCAATCTTCCTTCACTAACCCTAGTTCTGGGAAGCTATCTTGCATTTCATGGAGGAGGTCATCGACTCCTCCAACAAACATTGTAGTAAAAAAGGCGTGGACAGTCCTTTGTCCATGCTGGAAAGGAGATTCACTACTCCTCAAGAAGATCCTGAGGAGGAGATTGTCATCAACTTTGTTTGCAATATGTTGCCATTTGTAAACAAGTTGAGTGGCATTTTGTTCCAACGTTCGTGTCACGTTGAATACAGTCACCTTTTCTGGAATATCAAGTAATTTCACCTTCCATGAGATAATGAGACCAAAACTAGTCCCTCCACCTCCTCTAATAGCCCAAAAGAGATCCTCACCCATTGATTTTCGATCCAGGATTCGTCCATTAGCATCGATTAATTTTGCATCAATGATGTTATCAGCAGCAGTACCGAATTTTCGTGACATCATGCCATAGCCTCCACCACTAAAGTGTCCACCAACACCAACAGTTGGGCAAACCCCAGCAACAAAGGCCAATTGTTTACTTTTTTCCGCGATTCTATAGTAAACTTCCCCTAGGGTCGCGCCAGCTTGAATCCAAGCAGTCTTGTCTTCAGTATCTATGGAGATTGATCTTAGGTTTCTAAGATCAATTATGACAAAAGGGGTCTCCGAAATATATGAAAGTCCCTCATAGTCATGTCCACCGCCTCGAATTCTAATTTGTAGGCCATGTTTCTTGGAGCAATATATAGCTGCCTGGATTTGAGATTCATTATTAGGAGTGAAAATAATTGATGGTTTGAAATCGGAAGTTATCCTTAGATTACTTGAAAAAGAGTTATAAAGGGTGGAATATGATGAGTTTTTAGGAGTGTAGATAACTTGTGATATTGAGCTTGAGTTCATAATTTTGTGAGAAAGGCATTCAAGAAAGTCATCATGCAGGGTGGTGTTGGCCCATGATGATGAAAGGCAAATTGAGAGAAAGAGAAATATTGTTAACTTCTTGAAAGTAGTCATGATTGTTTGTTGCAAATTTTGATGTTGGAGAAAATGGAAACTAACAACTCCTATTTATAGATTTAGCTAGGGAGAAATCAAAGAAGTTTAGTTTCAAACCCTAAGACCACGTGGTATAGAATAATATTTTGTCGGTTGTTCATTTTGATTTTGCACGGCTCTTAAAAAATAATGATTAATATATATAGTTTATAACGATACTTTAATATATTAAATATGACATATAAAAGTGAAAATTTATTTTTAAAATAGTAAAAATCTACGGAGGGAGTATTATGTCTTCACCTAACTTTAATCGTAAAACATTTCCTAATCCGTGATAGAATTTTCTTTTATTAGGTTTAAAAAGCAAAATCGAACTCTGCGTGCAATTATTTTTTTCGTGCAAGAAAAGTATATGTATACACACATTCCAAAGACTCGTCAATTGTCATGTTTATTCATATAGAATTAGATGCACACGCTTCCTCATGCCTAACGTGGAATATTATCCGATTACTGGAAAAAATCTGCGCAATTCAAATTTAGTCAGAGCATCAATATGGGCATCGAACATTAGAATTGGGTGGGAAACTAAAAAAAAAAAAAGTATAACTATTCATATCATTGATAATGATCAATAAAACTAATTCGAGAAAATATTTTTCTCCTAAGTTGAAATCTTACATATCTTCTAGATTTGAATCTTTGATTATAATAACCTACTTTGATATAATTGTGTAGTCGACTAGACAAATTATTTTCTGGATATTATTAATATATTATGTCACTTTTAATAAATAAATTTCTGTAGAAAACTTAACATTTTCATGTGCATTGTTGGAACTAGGGGTGTACATGACCGGGCTGGCTTGGGTTTTTCAAATATCAAACCAAACAATTTGTGTAAAAATTTTAAATTTATAAACCAAATCAAACTAATAAAATTCGAATTTTTTCAAGTTTTTCAACCTCGGGTTGGTTCGGGTTTTTCAAATACCAAACCAAACCATTGTGTCTAATTTTTAAATTTATAAATCAAAATAAACTAATAAACCTCGGATTTTTTAGCTTTTGGATTTTTCGCATATAAACATATAATTAACTTGTGCTCCAAATATTTCTTTAGTCCAACCAAAATACAATTATCTAAGGTGTTTCTTAAAAGAATAACACAAAATATGAGATGAGTGATGACACTAAAATATTCAATAAAAAATAATAATGAAATCATCATATAAAATAAATATGGCAAAGTCATAATGAAAATGATCATAATTTAAAAGTACTAAATCATGCTAAAATAAGTTTAATAAGTATTAGTTACATTACTAAATATTTAAGGAAAATTAAAAAGTAGATTATGTATTTTAATTGTCTAAACCAATGTAAAACTAAAAAACCAATATTCAATATTATTGTCATTCTTAGTGTTGAATTGATTTTCTTTTTGTATTAGTATTAATTTGATTTTGATTTAAGTTTTATTATAATTATCAACATCTATGAAGTATAATCTTTATTGGACCATTCCGAATTCTAAATTTTAAACTTGAAATAATATATTAAAAGATAAAAACTATGAAATAGTATAATAAATATTTTAAAATTATATCAATGTAAATATTTTTATGTATAAAATAAAATTTTAAAATTACTTATATAATGTCGGGTTGGTTTTTTTTAGTTAAAACCAAACCAACCCAAATATAGTCGGGTTTTTTTTCCAATACCAAACCACTAGTCGGATTTTTGTTCGGTTTGACTTGACTTACGATTTGGTTCGATTTTCGGTTCGGTTTTATACACCCTGGAACATAAAGATTAAATAAATTCTCTGTTCATTAACGTATTAAGCAATTGTCCGACTTGATTTTTCAAAGGTCAAACTAGACCTTAATAAGAAATTGTAATTTATGAAAATTGATGGGTTTTTGTGTCAAACTTCCTATATGTAAATTGTCCCAAAATTATCATTGACCAAATCCACTTTGACCTTTAGATGATAAATATGGATAAAGATACTAACAATTTTTTTAGACTCTATCGGATGGAAAAATATCATGATAATAATTTTTGCATATAAAATTACAGCGAAATTAGAAATATTACTAAAAAAGTTAAAAAAAATTTAGTACATATATCTCTAAAATGAGAACGTATAATTGAAGACTTGTAATTATGGTCCAAGAAACTGTGTAAATTACAAAGCCTACGGTTATACATTGAACTCAAAAGGTCTAAATCATTATAATTATGATGAGTAAATTACATAACTTAAAAGCTTAATTTACGTATGTAAAATTATTTAATAAAATTAGACAAAATGTTCAATAAGTCCAAATTCCATACCCAAATAACCTAATTATTATTTATTATTAAAATTAGTCTTCCTTCTTTCTTCGTTGCTTTCCTTCTTCATTCCCCTTAGTCTGTCATGTCAGCAATATTTAAAACTTCTTAAATTTCGATTTTAAAATTTGATGCATCGTAAATATGTATCATTTCGGATAAATAATATATCAAAAGGGATTTTAAGCTAAAGACAATATAGGAAGGAGGGGGGCAGGGCCGACTCAACAAGATCGGGGGCCTAAAGCCAAACCTTAAAGAGAGGCCCTAATATTTTGAGAAGTATTTTGTTTCTTTAATCTCTTTAATAATTTTATTCTTGACTTCACTTGCCAATAAGTTTAATAATTCACTTTGTATATTATGTCCAAGGTAATGACTATGAATTTCGTCATGCTTATTCTTCAAATAAGTTCTTGCATAGCTGGATCAAATTTATTAGAGAAAAATGGTCAAATGCCCCCAATCTATTACCGGATTCCCAACTACACACTTCAACTTTACGCATGCCCTATCACCCCCCCTAAACTGTTTAAAACTGAAATTATTACACCCTTAAAAAGGAACAACCACATTTATATTGACAGGTGAAACTCACGCGTTTGACACGTGGATTTCTTTAAAAACTATTATTTTTTACCTTTTTCTCCTATATTTTCATCTTCCCTTCCAACACCAAAAGTCTTTTCATCATTTTTTTCTTTCATTGCAAACAGAAAACTTCACCAATCAACCTATCGGCACCACCCACTTCCTACCACCAGCTAGCATTACCAAGTCCTAAATCTTTTGACATATAAAAAAACATCAATTATTAATGCTTCTTTTCTTTCTTTACAATAGCCCATAAATTAATTCATATCTTTTTGGAGGAACTCTAAACAATTTGACGACTTATAATAGCAAAAGGAAATTTCTAACTATCTTCCGAAATCATTAGATCTGAACTCATTTAAAAATTAGCGTCACACCGTCTCATCACATGTGGGTTTCATTGAAAACTCAAAATTATTTCTGGGTTTGAAATAAAATTGCCTAATTGAGGCATCGAATAATCAAGATATGAATTTCCAACCTAATCGGCCTTGTGGGTTGACATGTAAAGTGATGATTAACAACTCCAATAATATCAATAAGGAATTGATTTTCAAAATTTTCTAATTTCATGCACAAATTGAAAAATACAAATTCAAGAATCAAGAGGAATACTAAAATTTCATTGTCAATTATGTGGAGTGTGATGACCCGGAAGGTCATTTTTGGAAATTTTGAACTATTCGTTTAACTTAAGTTAATTAATCGATAGTTAGTGGGTTAAAGTGATCATTTATTAAAGACTATACCACTTGACCATGGGTTAAAATGAATTAAATTATTTGGGGTTTAATATTTGAGTCATAACTGAAAAAGGAAAAGAAGAAAAGGGCGTAGGGTTTCGGCATCGTGAGTTTCGATCTGCTTCAGGTATTGCATCAAGTGCTCTGCATGCTCTTCATTAATTTCTACATATGTATATGTGTGGAAATAATAATATATTAGGTAGGAAAAGGATGAATTGCTTCGTAAGTTTGTAGTTAAGAAACGGTGCTAATATTATTGTTATTATTATTATATTTCTTTTTTTGTTTGTTGTCAATTTATGGGGATGAAGGGAGTTGAACTGTTAGGAGTATATATATATAATTATTTTCCATACATGCTATCTCCAGTTTCAAGTAGTAAGTTGAATTCTCACTAAAGGAGTTAGATTATTACTCTATATATGTTAAGGCCTAATTGATTTCTTGGGGAAAGAATAATGTCATTGTTGTACACTTGGTGGGTTTTGAAAATTGTGAGGATAAAGTTATGATTACATATTATAAATTTAGGAACCTGCCGGCGACATATTAATCTTGATTTTTGCCGATTCCCACCACTGGTTTCATAACCAGTGGTTCCGAAAATTAGTAATTCTTATGTTATTATCACATTGTATTTTAATTTTGATATATTAATTAAAATAGATAATTAAACATTAAGTATATCGTATTTTTGTGAATGTCATTAGATTTACGATAATTGAAGGAATTGGAAGAATTGACAAGTTAATGGGCATCAAGACTTGGGAACTTAATTATAAATTTGGGTAAGCTTTTGGGTCTAGGTTAAACCTATAGTGACATGAGTGTTGTTAGTTTCGGAATCTTATTGTGACTATGTATTTGAATAGATTGTATTGATTTGGAAGCTCAACGAAAAGGGAAGGCTCAAGTCTCGGAGTGATTGTTCGGTTATTTGAGGCAAGTGAATTTCTAAACCCTTGCTAAGCGTATGGAATTCGTGTATTTCCTTGTGTATATGTTTGGGAGTAATGGGAATTGGTGATGGGTTGACTTTTCCATGTTGAATAATTCTAGTGATGGAAAAAGGGTAATAAAAAGGCTTGTTGTTTAATTGTTGATGTTGTGTCACGATTGTATTGTTGTGAATTGTACATTGATATTAAATTGGTCATCTTCTCATTATTTGTGTGAACATGTCATTTGCA